TCAAGACTGGGGATAGGAGAGGAACGTGGGGACCAGCAGATGGCCTAGTGGTTACATCACTGGACTCCCACATGGCCGACCATGGTTCGAGTTTCAGAGCAGTGGCTTGAAAGTCATGGCGGGCAAGTGTACATGCCCAAAATCCCGAATAGAGGAGAAGGGATTGCGACGTGGCCATCCCCCCGGGTGGTGATACCTCGCTTTGTCTCTTTCTGCCTCTCTGACGAGTGCACACGCCCTATAGCAAAAATCTCTCTAAAAAAAATAAAAAGATTGGTGGTATGGGAGGAACAGATGAAAAATGGCTCCTGCTTGGCCGTTCTCTGGCTCCTCGCCTGCCCAGAGACCTCTGGAGGTGTACTACATGAGGAAAGCAAACCAGAAGCTGGCCAGGCACAGTGCGGGCCGGGGCTGTTCCCCAGGAACAGAGGCATGACGTGACTGAAGCCAGCTGAGCGGCATATGCTGGCAGCCAGCCCCAGCCCCCCAGCCCCCCAGGGCCCAGAGTCTCCTGCCTTCAAAAAGACTGGAACACTGCTCTAGGAAACATGACCGACCCACGAGGACAGATTTAAAGATCCCAATAGTGTGTCTTCAACATGGCCTGCCCAGATCATCCTAGAGTGAAACTCAGAGTCCAGCCTCAGGACAGCCCCTTGGCCTAGTGGTTAAGGGAGCTTCCAGTCCCAGCCCCGGTGGCTTGAGAACACACTGGGTATGTGCGCATGTCCAAATCTCTGAGAAGGGAGAGAGGCGATTCCAGGATGGCTATTCCCCATAGAGGGAGGTGCCTCCTCACCTTCTGTCTCTCTCCAGGTCTGAGGCTCCAATACCCTCGCTATGTGGGACTCGGCTGCCTTAACCACCATGCCACCAGGTGGCCCACTCCCTGTCTGTCTGTCTCTGGAAAGTGCATGTATCCTCTAACAAAATTAAAGAGGAAACACAGACCTTCACTGTGAGCAGACAGCCAAGGCCTGTTTGATAAGTGACAGAGTCAGCCAACATGGAGGTCTGAAATCAAAAGCAGCAAAGTGCTTTGAAAGATAGGTACTGCGTGTGGAGAGGAAAGCTTAAAAATGGTAACTGTAAGGGCCAGCAGGTGGCATGGTGGGTAAGGTGCCAGACTCCCACATGACTGCTCATAGTTCAAGTCCCAGACCCGGCAGCTTGAAAATCACACCAGGCATGTGTACCCAAAATCCCAAGGGGAGAATGGAGGAGCGGGATTGTGGCATGGTCATCCCCCCCAGGCAGTGATTTCTCACTTTCCTTCTCTGTCTCTCTCCAGCAAGTGGACACGCCCTGTAGAGCCCCACCCCTCAAAAAAAAAAAAAAAAAGATAATTACACCCTCAGTGATACAAGAGAGGAGTTCACCTTTAGGAAGTTAGGACATAGAATAGAAAAAAAAAATTTCAACACCTAGACATGAACAAGATGGCAGAAATGAAAATACTAGAACAAGGAAAAAAGATGAAAAAAAGAAAAAAGGATGCTGGAGACCAGTCCAGGTAGTTCAAGAGTACAGAAGAGGTGGGAGGAAATTACCAGTGAGATCACAGAAATGTGTATCCGTTTGTGCAGGGTGTGAAGTTCTAGACCGATGCAGTGAGCGAGAACGATGTGGAAACTTAGCGTGGTGCCAGCCAGTGGCATGGTGGCTAAGGCAGCTGATCTCACACGGCCTGGTGCACGGGTCAAACCATGACCCTGGGCTCGTGTGCGTGCATGCCCCAAGTCCTGGTGGCAGTAATGGAGGAGAAGGGGGTGCTGCTTGACCGTCCTTCATGGGGGCTCTTCCTCACTTTCTCCCTCCCCCAATGCATACGCCCTCTGGCAATTTTTTTAAAGGAAAGAGAAAAGAGGGACCAGCAGTAAGTGTAATGGCTGTCACTGAATTCCCATGTAGCTGACCACGGTTCGAGTCCCAGACCCAGTGGCTTAAACTCACACCAGGCACGTGTGCGTGCATGCCCAAGATCCCAAGAGGAGAATGGAGGAGAAGGAATTGCGGCGTGAGCATTCCCCCTGCGGTGTGATTTCTCGCTTTCTGTCTCTCTGTCTCTGTCTGTCTTTCTGGAGAGTGCATGTGCCCTATAGCAGAAAAAAAGTAAAGAGAAAAGAAACACATCAATGTGAAATTTTAGAACCTTGAAGACAGAAAATAGACCAAACAGGAAAGATTCCAGAAAGAACAGATCACAAACACAAAGAAGGTCAGGTATCACAATGACTTCAGATTTTTTTCTCTTTCTCTTTTAAGGTTTTTGCCATCGGGCGTGTGCACTTGCTGGAGAGAGACAAAGAGGGACAGTGAGAAATCACCCCCAGGGGGAATGGCCATGCCACAATCCCTTGTCCTCAGTTCCCCGGATTTCTGGCACTCATGCATATGCTAGTCTTTCCGTGGCGTGCCTCAGTGCCCAACCCTCAAGTTGGCCATGTGGGATCCAGCACCGTAACCACCATGCCACCTGTTGGGCCAAAATGAATTCTTTTTTTTTGGAGAGGTTTTTGCTATAGGGCGAGAGCACTCGACAGAAAGCGTGAAATCACCCCCGGCGGGGATGGCCATGGCCATGCCACAATCCCTTCTCGGCACGCATGCACACCCAGAGTGAGTTTAAGCCAGTAGGTCAGGGGACACAAACTACAGTCAACTACACAGGAGTTGAACAAATAGCCATTATGCTTTGGAGAGGTTTTTTTTGCTATAGGGCGCATGCGCTCGCCAGACAGAGAGAGACAGAGACAGAAAGTGAGAAATCCCCCCCCACGGGGGATGGCCACGCAGTCCCTTCTCCTCCATTCTCCTCATGGGATCTTGGGCACACACAAACACGCGCCCGGCGTGAGTTTAAACCACTGGGTCCGGGATGTGAACCGTGGTCGATTACATGGGAGTCTAGCGACATAGCCATTACGCTAACTGCTAGTCCCTCAAATTCGGGTTTCTAGAGAAGCTAGAAGACTGCCTTCAAAATTCTGACGGACCTCGCGGTACTGTTGTGGTTAAGCTAATATCTTGGTTCTGACGGGGCGGACCAGAAACCGACTTGTGTCCTCTCTGCTTCCTGGACACCTGCTCTTCTGGCTGACTGAGCGCCCCCCCATCCCAGGTGGCCAAGACGAAGCAGCAGATCGAGGAGCAGCGGGTGCAGGTGCAGGTGGTGGAGCGTGCCCAGCAGGTGGCGGTGCAGGAGCAGGAGATCGCCCGCCGCGAGAAGGAGCTGGAGGCCCGCGTGCGGAAGCCGGCGGAGGCTGAGCGCTACAAGCTGGAGCGCCTGGGCGAGGCGGAGAAGTAAGAGCCCTCCCCGGCCCCTCCTGCCTCCTCGGCTGGAGCTGAGGCCGTCGCTACCAGGACACCAATGGACTCTGGTTGTGGGAGCCCTCCTGCAGAGCAGGGGCCCCGCCTGGGCGGGCCCCTCGCTCCACCTCCCCTCTTTCCCCAGGTCCCAGCTGATCATGCAGGCGGAGGCCGACGCGGAGTCTGTGCGAGTGAGTTGGCGGTGCCTCCCGCTGGCTGGTGGAGGGGATGAGGAGTCGCTACTTGAGCTAGCTTTTCCTGTTCCTAACTCATGTTCTGTCCCCTGGTCAGATGCGTGGGGAGGCCGAGGCCTTTGCCATCGGGGCCCGAGCCCGAGCAGAGGCTGAGCAGATGGCCAAGAAGGCGGAAGCGTTCCAGCTGTACCAGGAGGCCGCTCAGCTGGACATGCTGCTGGAGAAGCTGCCCCAGGTCCGGGCTGTGGGCCAGGAACCAGGAACCAGGCCCCGGGCGGGGTGAAACGGGGGATGCGGAGACCAGGCTATGGAACCATCCCGGGGTGGGGGTTATAAGCCAGTAACCAAAGCAAGGACGAGGGTCTGAAACCCCAGAGGCCGTGTTAGTGGGTGCGGTCCAGCCCCAGGTGCTGAATGGCTGTCTCACCACTAGGTGGCAGAGGAGATCAGTGGGCCCTTGACCTCTGCCAAAAAGATCACCCTGGTGTCCAGCGGAAGTGGGACTGTGGGGGCCTCCAAAGTGACCGGGGAAGTACTGGACATCCTGAGCCGCCTTCCGGAAAGTGTGGAGAGACTCACGGGCGTCAGCATCTCCCAGGTGAGGGTCCCTGGGGCGGAACTGGTTCTGTGTGACGGGCAGATGCAGTGGGGCCAGCGGGCAGGAGGGTGGGGGTGCTGACATTTACCGATCGCCCTCTGTGTGCCAGCCAACACTAAACCTCTGCGTAGTGGAGTGGGGCTCACTTACCAGCTACCCTTAGGGTAGGTAGTCTCGTAGCTAGGAGAGAAACTGGCTTCCACTGTGTTAAATAACAGCAGCTGGTGAAGCCAGGTTCAAAGCCCCCGCCAGGGCGAGGAACTAGTGGCTGCCTGTTGACAGTTCCTTCCGAGGGGCACCACTGCTCTTCCTGGTGCCTGTGTACCCACCTGTCATTCCTGGTGGTCAGAGGACAGGCTCCAGAACCACCTGCTTTGGTGTGCCTATGGCTCCGCTGCCTGCTAGCCGTGACCCTGGTCAGTTTCCTCACCGGGAGACCGAGTCGGTAACAGAAACTACGCTGTGACACCGAGAATGCGTGAATTGTGCAGTGTTTAGGACAGCGCCAGGCACGCAGTAAACATGTGCATTAAAGAAAAAAGCAAGTCAAGTGAAACACTGGTTCCTACCAGTGACCTCAGGCTGAGCCCCCTGGAGCCCTCCTTGAGGCCTGCAGTGGGGGATCTGGAACTAAGGAGTCTGGCCAGCTGGCCCTGCCCACTGCCCTCTTCCAGTGCCATACATACGAGGGTCCTGAAGACTTTGCCTGGGGAAGGGGCTGAGGGGCGCCAGCCTATGGACATAGTTCTCCCTGCAGCCCGTGTGTCCAGGGGGGCCTGGGTAGGGCAGGGATACGGGGTCTCTGTGTTACCACTGTGAGGGGCGCCAGCCTATGGACATAGTTCTCCCTGCAGCCCGTGTGTCTAGGGGGGCCTGGGTAGGGCAGGGATACGGGGTCTCTGTGTTACCACTGTCCTCTTTTTGCCAGGTGAACCACAAGCCTTTGCGAACGGCCTGAGCCCTCAGCCCTCCCCACGTCCAGCCTCGTGGTTCAAATCGCTTGAATGGTCCCCCTGCCGCATGCACCCCAAACGGCCTCCCAGAGCACGGCCTTTGATGGCGGGGTTGTCTCCTCTCTCCTTGCCAAATAGCCTGTGCCTTGCCTTGGAGGGGGCTGCCCCCTTCCCAGCCCCACTGCCATAACTGCTGGTGCCCAGGGTCCCGTCAGCCTTGCGATGGTCCGCTCCACCCCATCCCGGTATATTTAACTTCCTAATGAGATGAGTCTGAGCCTGTCCTAGGATTTCCAGACCAAGACTGAGGGATTGCCTGGAGGTTCTTAGTTCACCAAATAAACTGCTAAGTACTGGCACTTAAAACGACTCAGAAGGAAATGTTGAACGTTTGCATTCTAAGTTATTAACCATGTGGCCAACGGGGCCGGCAGCCGGCATGGTTGTCACTTGCCACCAGCCTGGTGGCTTGCTTTCTCATTCTTTCTCTGGTGAGTGCATGTGTCCTATAGCAAATTAAAAAAAAAAAAATCATTTTAAAAATTTGGTCAAGGGACATAGTTGTCTCTTTTAGGTTTTGTAAACCATAGGGCATGTGAACTTGCCAGAGAGGGAAGCAGGAAAGTGAAAAATCACACACACACACACCCCCAAAAGAGGTGGCCACACAGCAACCCCTTCTCCGATCTGTTGGGGTTTGGGGCATGCGCACACACATGCCCAGCTTTTCGAGCTGCTGGGTCTAGGACTTGAGGCAGGGTTGGCCGTGTGGGAGTCCAGCGCCTTAACCACCGCACCACCTGCTGGCCCCGAAAGCGCTTAGGGTAGCTTGACTTTGTGCATTTAGTGTCAGGAGATGTGCAGTGGAACTCAGCTTAGACGGAGGTATTCCCCTGGTCTTCACCTCAGGCTGCCTGTGAAAACCCAAGCACACAGGCTACCAGCAACCCAGAGAAATCCTGTCTACACTGGAAAGGGTGCATGTTTTCAACAATGCACATTCCAGCCTTTTGAAACACTATTAAACGACTTGGGGGGGGGGAACAGCAGATGACAGTGGCTACATTGCTGGACTCCCATGTAGTCGACTACAGATCGAGTCCCAAACCCAGTGGCTTCAATTCACACTGGGCATGTGTGTACATGCCGAAGATCCCAAGAGGAGAATGGAGAAGGAATGGCAGCACGGCCACCCCCCTCTGGGCGGTGCTCTCTCGCTGGCCAGAATACGTGCCCTATAGCAAAACCTCTCAAAAAAGACCAACTTGTGGGACCAGCAGATGGCGTAATGGTTACATCACTGGACTTGTGGTTAACCGCGGTTCGAATCCCAGACCCAGTGGCTTCAAACACACCAGGCACAGGTTCCTGCCTCCGATCCAGAGAAGAGAGAAGGGATTGCGGTCTGCCCATCCCCCCTGGTGGGGGATTCTCACTTCCTCTCTAGTGAGCACAGGCACCCCATAGCAAAAAAATCCAAAACCTTTAAAACAAAGCAGACTGTTGGGATCCAAAGGCTCTACTGGTAGTGGGGTGGGGCTTGGGTACCAGATGAAGACTTGCCGAGGATGAGTAAGTACTCTGGCCATCTCACCAGTTCAAGGGGCGCAGAAGGTAACTGAGTTTAAGCCCCACCAGCACCCCCTGAATGAGCACACACCTTGCAACTTTTCTTTTTCAATTCCCATTTATTTTTGGCTCTTGGGGCAATGTCATCTTTTCAATATGAAAAAAAGCAGCAAGTTCAACACAAAATAGGAATCTGAAGTGTAGCACAAAACCAAGGGTAGGAGGGGATAGGCAGAGCAAAAGAAGAGATGTTGCCAAAAGACAGGGGCGTCCTGCCCCTGCCCCCTGGGCAAGGACGGACCTTCCAGGGGGAGGATGCCCCTCTCCGTGCGTCAGGCATGCTGCTCCTTTTCAGGGGGCAGGAAAGGGGGGGTACGGGGATGTCTTTGCCATCTTGAGCTCTGATCAGGGAAAAGGGGGAAATGCAATGTGCGGGAGAGGGGAAGACCCCAGAGTGGAGCAGACCCCGCCAAAGGACAGCAGCTCAGGACGGAGCGTGGAGAGGGAGACGGAGGAGACGGAAAGGGAGATAATACTGTTCACTCCTCCCGTGGACCTGGGAGACAGGGCACGGAAATACCTGAAATGATGACTTTATACCTTGAATTCCCCTAAAACTGTCCGAGAATGGAAAACCCCACCGCCCCTCCCTTGGACTTCCTTGTATTGATTTCTACCTCTTCCTCTTGGGGCTTTAAAGACTGGCTGTTCTCTGGGTTTTCAGCACCCAGTTGGCTGTGAAGTGGGACCTGGACGAGACCCAGCATCTAGACTTGTTGTGGAAAGAGCAGGAAATATTAGCTGGACAGATGGGAGGAGTGGGCACCGGGACATACACGGTTACCCAGAATGGCAGAGATCCAGGTTTCCCAGAGTGGAAAGAGAGAGGAGACATTCAACAAACAAAGATTTATTGAGTGCCCACTATGTGCCAGGCACTGTTCTAGACACCCCCACCCCACCCCCAAAAAAAAGAAAAGAAAAAAAAGAGAGGCAGCAAACACAAATTCTGAGGGAGAGGACAGGGGCAGTTGGGGAAGAAGGCTGAGGGAATGGAGAAGCCTGAGGCAACACGGGGCTCCATCTTAGGCCTCCTCTTCAGCCTCCTCACCGAAATCCTCTTCCTCTTCTGCGGTGGCGTCCTGGTACTGCTGGTACTCAGAGACGAGGTCGTTCATGTTGCTCTCGGCCTCGGTGAACTCCATCTCGTCCATGCCCTCGCCCGTGTACCAGTGCAGGAAGGCCTTGCGCCGGAACATGGCGGTGAACTGCTCCGAGATGCGCTTGAACAGCTCCTGGATGGCCGTGCTGTTGCCGATGAAGGTGACCGCCATCTTGAGGCCACGGGGCGGGATGTCACACACGGCCGTCTTGACGTTGTTGGGGATCCACTCCACGAAGTAGCTGCTGTTCTTGTTCTGCACGTTGAGCATCTGCTCGTCCACCTCCTTCATGGACATCCGCCCACGGAAGACAGCAGCCACGGTGAGGTACCGGCCATGGCGGGGGTCACAGGCAGCCATCATGTTCTTGGCGTCGAAGACCTGCTGAGTGAGTTCGGGCACAGTGAGGGCCCGATACTGCTGGCTCCCACGGCTGGTGAGAGGGGCGAAGCCAGGCATGAAGAAGTGAAGGCGTGGGAAGGGCACCATGTTGACAGCCAGCTTGCGGAGGTCAGCGTTGAGCTGGCCGGGGAAGCGGAGGCAGGTGGTGACCCCGCTCATGGTGGCTGAGACGAGGTGGTTCAGGTCGCCGTAGGTTGGTGTGGTCAGCTTGAGGGTGCGGAAGCAGATGTCGTAGAGAGCCTCGTTGTCAATGCAGTAGGTCTCATCGGTGTTCTCTACCAACTGGTGGACGGAGAGGGTGGCATTGTAGGGCTCGACCACGGTGTCGGACACCTTGGGTGAGGGGACCACGCTGAAGGTGTTCATGATGCGGTCGGGGTACTCTTCTCGGATCTTGCTGATGAGGAGGGTGCCCATTCCAGAGCCTGTGCCCCCGCCCAGCGAGTGGGTCAGCTGGAAGCCCTGCAGGCAGTCACAGCTCTCGGCCTCCTTCCGCACCACATCCAGGACCGAGTCAACCAGCTCAGCCCCTTCTGTGTAGTGGCCCTTGGCCCAGTTGTTGCCTGCCCCAGACTGGCCTGGAATGGAATCAGAGAAAAGAGTAATTTGTGAGGTGTGGAAAATCCGTGCTATCCCCACCTTTCAACTTTTAGGGGAAAAGCGTAATTTGTGAGGTGTGGAAATCCGTGCTATCCCCACCTTTCAACTTTTAGAACAGTTCCCTGGGAACTTCCTCTGTGTCTCCCCAGTAACGCCCCAGCCAAGGCAGCTGGGACTTCAGAGCACATCTCTATAGGAGCTCTCCAGAACAATCTATCTTCTTCTGCCCAGGTGAAGTTGAACACAACGACATCTACTAACATCACCCTGTAACTTACCAAAAACAAAGTTGTCTGGTCTGAAGATCTGGCCAAAAGGACCTGAGCGAACAGAGTCCATGGTCCCAGGTTCCAGATCCACCAAGATGGCACGAGGAACGTATTTGCCGCCTGCGAGGAATAAAGCAGAGAGCACGGAGAGGGGAAGATGGGTCAGGGCGGACACAATGGCATACCTGTAATCCCAGTGACTGGGGGGGTCGAGGCAGGAGAACCCTGTTAAGGCCAGTCTGGGCCACACAGCAAAGCCTTATGTTCACTTTTTTTCTAATAGGGCTTTTTGCTATAAGGTACGTGTACTTGCAGGAGAGTCAGAGACAAGAATGATAGAAAAGTGAGAAATCGTTCCCTGGGGATGAGGATGGGGTGGCCATGCTGCAATCCCTTCTCCATTCTCTTGGGATACGAGACACACAAGACCATGTGCCCAGCATGAGGTTTAAGCCACCAGGTCCAAGACTTCAAATGGTCGTCAACTACTTGGGAGTCCAACAATGTAACTATTACAATATCTGCTGGTTTAAGGCCTTATCTTAAAAAAAAAAAAAAAAATTAATGGAGTAGACTCTAATTTTTCATTTTTCTCCAAAGAGTTGAGCTGGATCCCACAGGGCCGACCACAGTGCTACTGCCAGTGGGTTGACAAACATGCCAGGCACAGATGGAGAACCAGAACAAAATGGATTGCAGCATGGCTGAGCTCCACTGAGGGGTGCCGTGCCTTATGCCTCAGTCAAGTCCCCTCTCATAATATGCCATCATTTAGAAAATAATTTAAAGGCAAGGGGGCCAGCTGGTGGCACGGTGGCTGAGAAGCTGGATCCCACATGGTCAATTTCATGGTTTTTGAGTCACACCGGGGCAGCTTGAAAAACGTGGTCTGTGGTCAAAATTCTGAGAGAATGGAAAAGGGATTGCAGCATGGCCAGTCCTCCTTTGAGGGTGATTTCTCACTTTCTCTCTGGCAATCACAGAAGCCCTAGGGCAAAAACTGAAAAAAGAAAAAGAAAAAAAAAAATCCGGGTTGTGAGACATGTGGGGGCCTGGGCCTGTCATTCCAGGCTCTGCCACCAGGTGGAAGCAGAGCTAGTCTTTAGCTCTCAAGGTGTGTCTCCAAAGGGTAGATTCATCCCAAGAGATTATGGGGATCCCAAGGATAAAGAGACCCCCCCCCGGAGCAAAAAGAGGGAGAGAAAACGGGGCCCGGACTTCCCGGGCTCCTGCCCTCACCTGTGGCTTCATTGTAGTACACGGAAATGCGGTCCAGCTGCAGGTCACTGTCCCCGTGGTAGGTACCGGTGGGGTCGATGCCATGTTCATCACTGATCACTTCCCAAAACTGCGGGGGGATAGCAGAGCGCCCTCAGGGGCTCGAGTCCCACCCAACTATGCTCCTCGTCCCCATTCACACTGCAGATGCGCTCACGGCAGGCCCTGGCCCGGGAGGCACCCCAATCATCTGCCCACCACGCCCTTGCCCTAGACCCGCGCACACCGGAGAATGCAGCTCTCCTGCGCTGGGCTAGATGACGCGCAGCTGGGAGGGCCCGAGGCTCGCCAGCACAGGGAGACGGGCTTGGCCGCGCGGGCTCGGATCGCGGCGCACCCC